ATTATTTGTTCAATATTTTCTAAACAAAAGGTAATTATAAACACTAGAACAATAGATCACTAGTATCTGGGCGGGTATTAATGAAAAAAGACGAGGTGCAAAGGTATAGTTATTCTGAGATTATGTGTAGATCAGATTATTTTTAGTACAGGTAAAATGTGATATTATTATTTTTAATTTCTTCAACAATAAATACTATACCATCCCAAATTACTTAGCCATCTTTAAAAGTTTGAGCACCTATATATCTTTATTGAAAATGATTTACAATATAAAAATGATATGCATAATGAAAATTTTCTTTGTTAAAAGTACACTCATAAAAGTATAAAATTTATAAGTTCCATAATATTATACTAATCAAAGTCATGGTCCAAATTTTAGGATTGACTAAATATTTCTGGACAATGATAGTACTATATACGTAGTACTGTATTAAATGTAAGATACTCATTAGTTCCCTTTTTAAACATTAGTTCCCAACATAACTACGAAGTATTTACATTTGGTTAACATAGAATACTTTTTAGTTATTTCCTTTAACCCATTTTAGATGTGATAGGATTAGAGAATAGGGGCACTTCAATAATACATCAATAACTTGCATCAAAGTGTCAAATACTCATACCTTAGGGGAGGTATCTAAAAATAACCCGATAAATCAATGAAAAATGGCCTAAATAAATTCATAAATCCCCTAGTCCCCACTTTGAGGCTTGAGGGAGTGCCAAAACACCCTAGTTTTGCAGCGCAACCCTTTTACTACTCTATTTTTACAAAATGTTCCCATTCTTTTTACCTACTTTTACTCCCGTTATTATCGTCTTCTTCCGCGGACCTCTGAAATGGAATTCTTAACCGCCGACGGCCGGTTACCGGACGGCGTTGTTTCTCTGCCAGATCATTTCTCCCCTTTCCCCGAACCCACGGTCGAGCTCTTCGTCAATGAAACGGCTTCTACCCCAATTTTTGCTCCCTGCAAAAGGCGCCGTTCCGTGCGGTCCAGACCCGGCCGCAACACAACGATTTTCCCGGACACAATCTGTGCTGGTGACGACGCTCCGGTTAGCTATAATGCCGGAGATTTAGGGCTTATTGTTCAGACGCCAATCAACGAAGAGGAGAAAACAATTGAACGTCCCGCCGTTGTGATGCCAGGAAGTGGCATAGGCTATTCGGAGACAGATATTCCGATAGAGATGCAATTAAAGTCTGGGATCGATGCTCAATTTACGAATATCATATCGCAAGCCCGAGTAATGGAGGCCGATTTAAGGTAATTTATTCATGTATATTGCATTTTAATTATTTATGCCTTTTGACGGAATATTTGTACAAATTATCTTTGGCATTTAAAGTAATTTTGTTACATGAATTAATTTCATTCTTTCTATGAAATGTCCAATTTTATTCTTACGTTCAGTATGAAATGAATAACTTAATTTAAAACTCCATTAAAAAAACTTAATTTTAAACTACAAAAAGAAACTGATCTTTCTAGGCTTTTAGATAAAGGAGCATAGGGAAAGGGGGAATCTTTGAATGACATTGTCCTCTCTTTTGTTGATTTTATGTCGTTTGTATAGGGTATATTTGGTCGGATGTACACGCATGTGCATAGTAATCATACATCTAGCATTCTAGCTCATCTTTAGAGAAAAAAAAATCTGTGGTATCATTTGTAAGGACGCAGAAGAACACTAGCAGTCCGATATAGAAAATTACAAAAATGCCACTGGATTTCATACAAAATTATGCTTTATTTCCTTAATTAAGTATGACATACAAAAAAAGATTATGCTATGTGGTTTAACATTTTTAGAATGTAAAATCTAAAAATACCTCCAAATGAGGAGGTCTTAAAGTCTATCAGTGAATATAAACATTCTCTTAATAAAATGAAATTTGTTTCAAGAACTTTTTTGTACCAAAAATGAGTTTGCTTTTAGACTATAGCAACAACAACAATAACAACATCCAAGCCTTAATTTCGATTTTTTTGGAGTCGGCTAACATGAATCAACATATGAAATCGAAGCTATAGAGGTATAAAAATATAAGATAAGATAAAGATAAAGAGAAAAATGATAAGAAAAAAGATAAGAGTACAAGAAAGAAAAAAAGATAAAAGACCTTGCAAAAAAAGAAAGATAAAAGAGTCTGATTTTAGAGTAAAGTATAAAAAAGCCAAGCATCCTACATTTTTAGTCCATCACTCCAGAAAATCTTGGAAATAAGTTTAATGAATATTTTTAGCCAACATAAAAGCTTGTACCTTCACGGAGTTGACTAAAAATAACTCTTTTTTTGGATGAAGTATATAATAGTTTGTCTCATCACAAAAGGAGCTACATAAACTCATAAAGGAGGAGTTTGCTAATAGAAAAGCTACTCGCGGTGAATTGGTGTGTCATAAAAGGGAATTTGGTTCTTGTTGTGTTAAGATAGGAGCTAATCGCAGTGAATTGGTGTGTCTGTACATTTTACAGTTCTTATTGTATTACTTGACTTCTGTGAAATGTTACCTGTCTTGCTATGACCCCTTACTATTTGTAGCTTCTCTCTTTCTTTCCCCTCACAAGGTGCGATGATGGTAGGTACTATGAGCTCTACTCCAGTCAAGAATTACCATTATACACTAACACTTTAGCTCATAATGCATAAATGCATTTCTATATTTGTTCGGCACTTCGGCTCTAGTATTATTGCTAATAGTGATTTGGTACTGATGTGATTATCATTGTTCCATACACACTACAGTAAAATGCAGATGAACATTATATGACATTTGAACTTAAGTTTGAAGCCATGACTGTTCAGCAGGATGATCATTACCAACTTGTGCTTGTCACTAGCTAACAGTAGTTTATCCATGAAAGTAATTATGTTTTTGAATCCACACTAACATTCAAAACTATTGAAGCACTGTCCACTCTTTTGAAAGCACAAAAGATGCGCTCTTATGAATTGTTGTTCAAAGAGACTGCTTCACACTACAAAAACAGTCACATATTGCACATTTGACCATTTCCAGCACAGATGGCTAAATTTAAGCCCAAAATCTCGCAAAAAGAGTTAACAGTGAGCACAAAAAATGGCAAAAGTCAGCCCAGGACTAAATGAATGAATGGCATTCAAAGTCTCAAAACTCATACCAATCATGCTTTAACATGTTGTAGAATTCTCTTATTAGCACATTGTACAAGTTTTTAAAACATTTGGCACCATGCTGATTCAGCATTTGGAGAAACAACTCCTTCACCACTCAAAATCTGTTGTTTGCACACTCAAAGAAGTGATTAATTGATTATCATATGTAATTCTAACACCCTAACTATTCAGTTCTCTTTGTAGAAGCACATTTGTCTCCCAAAATCATTTATAAACATTCCATATAAATATATAATGTTTGCAGCATTGAGTAGCACCTTTTGTACATAAACTTGTGGTTTGTACTTTGTACCACTGGTCTAATTGGTGCTTGTTTTCATGAGGTCACTTGTAAATGTTATAAACTGTGAGTGATTTTTATGTAAAGTATTAGTAGTAAGATGGATTATTTTATAGGGGTCTGTGCTCATTTACTTACTGAAATTACATAATTAACCTTTTTGACGTGCATCTAGATAGTGTACCTATTAAGTAGGCTATTTCCCTTTGAAAGATGAAGGACAATTGGTCACATTGTTGGTACTTGGTGCTTGTTTTCAAGAGTTGAAGAGTAGTCAAGTGTGGTAATTTTTGTAAATAATTTATTGGTCACTAGGATTTATCCCAAAGTAATAGTAATCTTTTTGTGCAGTGATCCAATAATTGATATTAGTAGTGCACGATCTAATGCATTTTAGCTGATGGTTCGCTTTCATGGACTATAAACTTATTTTCAGCTTTTCTTCCGATGGCAATGACTCATCTGTGGTAGAAAAAGAAGCTTTCAGCAGAAGAGGAGAGAGCACCAGACAGAAGTTTGCTTTGTTTGTAGAGGACATGGTGATGAAAGTGATGAACAGGCAGGATCAAATGCATGCACAATTGATAGAGGTGATGGAGAAAAAAGAACAAGAGAGAATCCAGAGGGAAGAATATTGGAAGAAGCAAGAAATCGAAAGAGCAAAGAAGATTACCGAATTAAGGTCTCAAGAAATCTCAAGAAGCCTGACCCTACTTTCATTCATTAAGAATCTGTTGGGCGAAGAGATTCAAGTTCCATCATCTCAATTAGCATTCACAGAAAAAGATGAACTTCTTCATGGTCAAGAAGCACAGAAAGATCCAAGCAATAGGAGATGGCCAAAATCAGAAGTGCAGGCCCTTATAACAGTTCGGTTATCCTTGGATGACAAGTTTAAGAATGGGCCTAAGGGATCCATATGGGAAGAGGTAACTGCTCGAATGGCCACCATGGGTTACCCACGGACTCCAAGCAAGTGTAAAGAGAAATGGAAAAATATAAACAAGTACTATAAGAGGATGACCAAGACCGAGGGGAATAGCCCAAAGCCTTACAAATCATGCTCATATTTCCGTGAACTGGACATACTTTATAGTAAAGGACCCAACCCACCAGCATCTCAGAATGATGTTGACGATGTTAAAGAGATCACGCTAGAATGTGTAATGGATACTGGCTAGCTTTCACATATTCTCTTTGCTCATCCCATCAATGCCAAGTACACTCAAACTTGAGTTATGTGGGCCATTTTAGCTTTGTTTAATGTAGAGCACATTATGTTTTTTAAACTGCCTGGTAGTGCCTTGCAGTCTAAGGTCAGGTTTAAGTTCTGTGGGCCATATTAGCCTTGTTTAATGTAGAGCAGCCCATTATGTTTTTAAACTGTTTGGTAGTGCTTTGTCTAACTAATTAGATATCAGGATAAGGTGGTTCACCTGGATGAGGGAGTCCAAATCCAATGTTCCAAATGCCTTGTTGATGATGTAAAAATATCAGATTCTCTTATCCCTGGCTTTTTGTGACCCTGCTGAAATTATTTTGCAAGTGGTTTCGAAGATTTATTTTCATTTGTAAATTCACCACTATAAATTTACAAAGTCATCACTCTGTTTTGACATATATACCTGTTAAAACACGTTGATATAGGGTTGCGGATAATTCACGGATTGAACTCTAGATACTATCGTATATTGTATTACTATTGTCTGCTAGGGAAATCTAGGTATTATGGTATGAGGACATTTATATATTCTACTTGTCCTTAATAAATAAAGTTTTTTTGAAAATCAAATAACTTTATTACTCATCAATTCTCAACACATGAACAATACAATCAGAGGATGAAGAACCCAAATACCGTCAGACCCAGAACAGACTTCTCTAGCAAGAGTGTGAGCACTGAGCAAGTTTATTCACTGACCGGTGCAATATTGGACATTACATTAGCAATATTTGCCATCATATGTCTAATATTTTTAAAAATAACATCATGGTAGTGTAGCCCCTCCTCACGGGCAAGTCCTTGAACAATTTGCTGAGCATCCGACTCTAACTTTTTCCATCCCGAGTCAACAACCCACCTAACCGCCTCTTCAATCGTCATGGGCTCCATAGTGCTTGGTGAAAAGCGACCTCGCAATGCTACACTTTTTGCTGCAAGGAACTCCCCACTGTCGCCCCTAGCAACAAGCCTGATGCCACGCCCGTCACCATTTGCTTGGAGAGCGACATCAACATTGATTTTAACAAAGCCCAACTCCGGCTTCTCCCATCTCTTCTAACTTTCTATCCGAGTGCACGTCTTCATCGCCGTATCCTGTGCATTCCTCCATCCTGCCATCACCGCACCACCACAAGCTATAACACCACTCCAATTTGAGCTACTATTTCTCCAAGTTTTATCATTTCGAGCTATCCAAAGGCTCCAACAAGTAATGACAAAAATACAAAGTTCATCCCTAGGTAACTTGTCGCACATACCTCTGCCCATTCTCCAAAGGAGGCCTCTGCCAAGCCATGCATAAATCAATTTTTCTTTTTAACATGTCTCAAAATCATTACTAATTTCTTTTTCCTTTTGAAAGAAAGCATCATGTGATTCCTCTAATATAATTCTTTTTCTAAATAAATTCCGATGATACTTTTTCACAATTTCAAGTCCACTAGAGCATTATAAATAAAAGTTTTTCTTTAAATAGTACGGAGTAATAATAATAAAGTCATAAAAAATGTGACTTAGTAACTATTCATAACTATAGTTGGGTTCAAAGTTTACGTCGTAGTGACTCCATATAGTCACTAGTGACTCCATATAGTCACTACGATGTTGGCGTTGAACACAATTATAATCACGAATAGTTACTAAATTACGTTTTTGCCCACCATTTTTGTATAAACTATTATTCATATGACTAAATGAGTAAAAAAAGACTTTAATATCCAACTAGCAGCTAATTCAAATGAAGTTTATATATTTAGTAATAGGACAATTTTTTTTAATAAGTTACAACTGATCTAAAAGCATTCGTACTGAAATTTGAATATTATATTGTTAATATAATAGTCATACAATTATTCTAGTACGGGACTACGGGTACATATATGCTTGGTTGGTGAAACTTCAGAGGTGTAATTAATTTTAGTCAAATTTAAAATAAAAAAACAAACTTTATATATTAATTGAATCGTTTAAACTATAGAGTTATACTCCGTACAATAGTAAAGTTTGACATAAAATGAAATATATTCAATATGATTTACCAATGATTATGGAGTAGTACACAAATTCTTGTAGTCCCACAAAAGAGTAAATTACACGCGGTATACATATGAGTAATGATCCTGTCCAGCCGGAGGGACAGGACCCGCCGTCCGGTCGTCGCCATTTAGATCTCTTCCTGGTGGAATTTTTTGCTGAAATTTTTTGAGCATGTTCTCCATGAAGTCTAGTTTATTCATACCAAATTTCAGCTAAAAATTCAATCGGGAAGGCAGTCAAATGATTTTTAGAAGTTAACTGCGTACTTTATATACATATAAAACACAGTCATCTTCCAAAACTCATTTGAGTGTCTTCCCGATTGAATTTTTAGCTGAAATTTGGTATGGATAAACTAGACTTCATGAAGAACATGCTCAAAAAAATTCATCAAACAATTCGACCGGGAAGAGCCTCTGAAGGCCTCGGCCGGACGGAGCTTCCTGTCCATCCGGATGGACATGATCTTTTTCTGTATACATATAATTTGAAAGAACATTAGATCTCATGCTAAATATTATGAAATACTTATTGATTTCGATGTTTGTTCATCTATCCTCATTTGCAATACTTATTGATACAATAACGTAAAATTGACCATGATTACAAACAGTTTTTTTTCAACAACAAATCAATACGTTTCAACAACAAATCAATACGTGACATTAACTGTCTTTACTTTTATTTACAGTTTGACATAATAAATCACGTTTGAGTTGAGTGTTATTGCATCTGTAATTGGAATGACAAGTTAATATCTTAAGGTGTTAAGGAATGTTTGGCAATTAACACCTTCAATTCCCTCCCATACTAAGCCCTGTTAAGATCTTTTATTAAAAAAGTATGAAAGGTAAACAATCATCGAGATCCTTAAACAAGCCCATACTAAGCCCGGTTAAGATCCTTCTTTAACCACAGCGAATAAATATGAAAAATTAAGCTAAAGCATTAAAAACTAGAAATGGAATAAATAACACAACACTTTTTTATGACGAATATGAAATTTAGAGAAAAAAAATGAAACGATTAATAAAATACAAGAGTGTTTCAGAAATTAGATTGTGTTACGATTGAATAGTTTGTAATGTTGTTGGTTCTTGAATCCTAATATAGAGTACACATTTTATACTCTGTATATGTCAAAACTTTATTCGTAAGATGTTCATGGTTTCAAAATTTAGTAATTACCCTAAGGATAGGGAAAATGGGCAAATAAGGCCTTATTTATGAGGCATTGTCCGGCCTTTGCCATTTTGGGTGGTTGTCGATGGAATTTTTTGATGAATTTTTTTGACCTTTTTATTCATTAAGTTTAGTTTACTCATACCAAATTTCAGCTAACAATTCAATCAGGAAGACATTCAAATAAATTCTTAAAGATAACTGCGATTTTAACTGCGCAGTTATCTTCAAGAATTCATTTCAATGCCTTCCCGATTGAATTGTTAGCTGAAATTTGGTATGAGTAAACTACACTTACTGAATAAGATGCTCAAAAAAGTTCATCAAAAATTTCCACCGGGAACCAACCCAAATGGCGACAGCCGGACAGAGCCTCTTAAATAAGGCCTTATTTGACCTTTTTTGTTAGTACATGGCCTTATTTGCCCCTTTTCTCACTTAGGATATGATGTTTTTACTTGAATTGAAATTTGTTAGTTTGGTAGGGTTTGTTTGAGTATGGTATGGTTTGGTCTTATTTGAACTGATCTGGTGTGGTAAATGTCTGGTCTCTGCGTATTCCATAACAATGGAAGTCTGGTCTTGTCTGGTCTGTTTAAGTTTGATATTGTCTGGTCTGGGACAAAAAATAATCCAGTAAAAACATCCTAAGTAAAACTTAATGTAACTTTTTTTTGGAAGAATTCGACTTATATTAATAACCAATATTTCAGAGTATGAGTCAAATGACAAAAAGAAATCTGACAACCGTTATCCCTCAAACCAGACTCGGAATTTATCGCCGCAGTAATAAAATTCGTTGATCCATAACTGGGAAATAAAAAGCCAAAAACGGTCCCCATATTCCTCTCATCCCCCATATCCAAATTCAACGTCTTACAAACTGGAAAAAAATGACGAAACAAAAACCATAACAAAAGCAACAATTAATGAAGTAGCAAACAAAACAAAATAAAAAACACACCTGTCGCATCCAGAACACTCGAACCATCCCTCTGACTTGCGGCCTCCAACCTTCAACCAACATCTTCGGCGGGCTTATGGAGTCCTCATCCTCCCCGTTTTTTGCCCCATCCATAGCCATGGTGTCCTCCACTTGCTCCTTCTCTGTCTGAGTTTCCTAGATCTTCCTCCTCTTAGAAACCTCTTCTTTTGGCTCCTCCCCTCCTTGTGTATAACTTTGGGCTGATTCAGTCATTGACACTTTCTCCTTTTCTACAATCTTTCCATCTGACTTGGATGCCCCTGAACCGCCACCCATTCTGGCAGAGCTCGATGAACCCTCCAAAAGCCAATTATGCCCTCCTGTCGGGCTTGTCCTCACCCCGCTTCCTGCTCTAAGTTAGGATCCAAATCTTTTTTCTAAGACTATGCCTTCTTCATAATTTAAGGGACAAAATTATTTGAATGTCCAATCAAACCACAGATAAAGCAAAAGTTGGGTAATCTTTCATATTTAAAATCTATCCAAAAACTTTTACCATCTTTTTTCAGATATGTCCCCTTCTTCAGCGATTTATCCATCTTCATAAGAATTCTAACCCTCATATATGGCTCTAATCAATCCTTCTTCTGGTTATCATCATATTTAACAAATTCCCCTATGAAATTTCCTACACGCCTGGAAATACCCGGATTAACAAGACTATAGGGAACATTATGAATCTGGACCCAAAACCCAGCCTCATTTAATATAATTTTATGTGGGATATCATCAGGCATTACTTCTTTTAACATTACCAGACTACGTTCAAACTGCCAAGGACCTCCATCAAGCACATGCTTCATATCAAAACGAAGATTAAACGAAAACAAGTACCTTTTTTCACCGATTTCTTTCACCGACATATCTTTCCCCGGCCTCCAAAGCGTAAGCATCGTCTCTTTGAGATCCGGGAACTTGACCTTGCGGTCAGTCAACACCTGGCCGATCACTGGGAAACCGATCGCCGCCTCCTCCACCGGACTACCTTCAATCTCCCCTTCATCGAGATTCAGCTCCTCTTCGTCGTCACCTATTGCCATCTGCTTGTAGCGATCAACAACACTTTCCATAAGCCTTTTATAAAACCTCCGCCATAGACCCTGCTACTGCTATCAATCGGCAATCTGAAGTCTTCGTACCTCCCCGAATAGCCTGGCTATAAAACCAAAACCACCACCCTCTCCACCAATCCGAACCCTCCAAACAGCACCGCCCTAACCTCCAGACAACACCACCCTAATCAACCAATAAAACTCGCCCTTTGATATGACCGAAGGCGGACAAAACTAACTAAGGGTTATCGGCCTAGAGAGAGAACTTTTCAAAAATCTAGAGTTTAATGTAAATATAATTGCACAAATAATTAATATGAATCTACTAGATCGTAAGAAAAAAAATTGGGGCCTGGAAGCCCTCACATTAGGATTTCCGAGTTCGGTGTGCCGTTTTCACTTGGATGCCTCTGGTGTTTGATGGTGGTTGAAGTTTCTCGGGGAGGCATTATCCTTCACGGGGGTCTGCTTTGATGGTTGGCTATGACTATCATGGTGTGGCGGTGCAGTGCCGCGGTGGAGGATTATACACAAGCTTGATTGGCGGAGCATCTGGTTGCTGGGTTTAATACTACGTGACCCCAAGGTGAGATCTAATTTGAGTCATCTAGGGATTCTAGGCATCTTGATGGTGAATAAGGAAGATGGACAAATCAAAAAATCAGATGAGTATGGAGATTTTGTAATGCTGTTCTTGATTCTCTACTCCCCTGGCAGCAAGAAAATTGATGAAGACGGCAGTGACGAGCTGAATCAGGATAGCAGTGACAGAAAAAATGGGATTGGGGCGAACTTTGGATGACAGGCTCGTCAGGAAAATTGAAGTCTTGCTACGCAAATTGGCAACTTTATTTATTTCAATTCGTTTAGAATTTTATTCTCAATCTTGGTCAGTTTTCTATGGTTTTGTTTTTTATTTCATTAGTCAAGACATTAGGATGCGCTCTAATTTCATTATGAACTCGAGTGATGTTTTGAGGGGCAATCCTTCCATTTTGGTCTTTATAAGCTTTAAGTTGCCCGAACAATTAATGGTTAGTGAATTGGTGTGCTATGTTGCACTAATAATTATATGTCTAATCCTAAGGTTGTACATTTAACCAAACTGGGAGTGTTTGTCTGGTGGACGTTCTGCGTGTTTTTGATATATCTATTTAAGCCTTTTTCATTAAAAAACATAATCGCACAAATATGACTCATTGACTAATCATTAGTTTTCTATCCCTAATAATATCCTAATCTAGTCAATTATTTTCCCTTCTAATTCTCTTGGGAAACCGGGTCAATCTGGGGGTGGCGGAGCTCCGACGAGTCTCGACGGCGTAAAAGTAGTCAAACATTACATATCGAAATTTTCGCTAGATTCTGACAGGCGGCTGGCTGCAAGCAGCACTGTGACAGCAAGGCTAGGGAAGATGGCAAGGGCAGGGACAAGAGTATGAGTATGATTATCCAAACGCACATTAATAATTGTATTTAAGGAATTTAAAACGTTGTAATTCCATTTGTGATTTTTTGCCATATTTTAATTAAATAATGTAACAATTAATGAATCAACTATATATCACATAGTTGGAAGATGACTATTCAATATATTTCAACACTCCCCCTTGAATGGTCATCTTCTAATTATTTCGAAGTATTATTTTCATAGTATTATAAATAAGAAATCATTTCTAGATTGTAATTGTATGACTCACAATTAGCCTCTGATCTAGACATGATTACATTTTCCCCTATAAATAGGAGTATTTTCCTTCATTGTAAAGACACCATTACAACACCATAATCGCTCTTCTATTATACCATTAATAATATCTTTATCACCAAGTGTTCATATTATACTTTCTCTCCCTGATCTTCTGCGTATTTCCTTCCATTTTATAACAATTATCACTTATCGCGACTAATAATCATCTCCGTCTAGTAACACGCCATGGCGTCAGGTGATCGTCGTTCTTACCTTTGAAAACTTCTACTACTTGATCACTTCTATATATTATATCATTCACCGCCAAATCATCACTACCATTTCCAAACATCGCCACGAAGAAAACATATACGGAGTACATAGTATACAATATTTGAAAATTAAAAATAGAAAATTGAAAAATAGAAGTACCTAATTAAACACAAACATAGAATAGGAGTAAACGACGTGATCTTATCTTCTTCTTCCTATAAATAGACATATGAAAAGAAAAGTTGTTACAATTGATGGAGTCATACATTGAGGATTTCAGGTTGGCTATACCAATAATAGGATATTGATAAGCTCATCTTCCATCGGTATACGGCTATACGCATCACAGCCTGGCCCTTAGCTAGCTCGTACTCCCTCCGTTCTTTAATATTAGTCCTTCTAGGCTTTGGCACGAGTTTTAAGAGGAAAATAGTAGGGGTAGTGTAAAAGGTATAATGAGTAGTGGGTAAATGAAAAAGTAGGAAAGAGAAAGGGGTAATGGTAATAAAAGTTGGGGTATAAAGCTATATTTAGAGTAAAAACTTTCCTTAAATGGAAAGGAGGACAGAAAAAAAAACGTCCCAAAAAGGAAAGAAGGACTAATAAAAAAGAACGGAGGTAGTATCTTTTACTACTATTTCTAAATTTCTTTACAAACGGTTATACTAAAAATAGGATTTTGTTTCAAACAAATTTGATGGTCTCCATCTACCTTGTCTAGCATATACCACGTACGAGTATAATATTATGACTAGGAGAAGATTGTGACTTATAATATATATTGTGCACTTATATCTCAAAGATCCGCAACACAAATGGTTTACGCGCGCGATTGAATTGAATGAAGATAAAGTTGGGTTTTCTTCACTAACATTTAGACTTTTACTAGTAAGTACGTAGTACGTAACTTGAATTTATATGTTTAGAGACTATTAAAATTACATTGAATCACAAAAAGTAAATGTGAAAATGAAGAAAAGTTGATCCGACAACTATAATTAGATACTCACATGTTTTAATGTTGAAGTATTTGTCCCACACCGGAAAGCTATAAAACAATTGAACACTATATAAGGCTTTGGGTTACTCCTCCTATCAGGTTGACCTTTTAGGACGGAACCCCATGTCTTAACCTGGTATCAGAGCCAATTCCGGTTGTGGTTTGACTGCTTGTTTAGCATCCATGATTACGGGTAGCTTGTTAAGGGTCTGTTTGGCCCGTTTATACGCCCCGATATTGTCCAGTCCGGTTCGGACCACTATGATTACGGCGTGTTGAAGTATTTGTCCCACACTGGAAAGCTATAAAACAATTAAACACCATATAAGGTTTTGGGTTACTCCCTCCTATCAGGTTGACCTTTTAGGATGGAACCCCATGTCTTAACATTTAAAATTATCTTCATTCTTTCCTTTTTCGTCCGTCTAAATATAAACTCATTTTTTTCATTTTAATAAACAAAATGGTGATTCAAACATGTTTTTGTCCCCACTTTCTCTATCTAGTGCACATACAACTTTAAACCACACATTTTTCATTTTCTTAATCTGCGTGTAAAGTCAAAATACCAATTTAAGTCAAACATTAAAAGTATCTTAATATTGCGTTTAACATTCACGTGAACCAAAAATTAAATGTATATTATATATATTGACTTAATGGTCATAATTTCGATTTCCGACCGATTACTTCTAGTCTAGGTTAATGATCGTGAAGTATCCGAGTTTAATTCAATTTGGTATTGTGTGCCCTAGCCGGAGGTATTGACGTCAAACAAGGAGTGGACCGTCGAACCACCGCCTAAACGTCTTTACCCCTTACACGTTAAGCTACTTAATTATCTCCCTATAGTAGTAAGTATACTACGTACGTCGGTACGTACTATATATATGTGCCTAGCTAGCTAATATATAATAGAAACCATATACACCACCACCAATTCAAGTACGTACGTACATACGGAAGGGTAATTAAGGATCATATCAGAGTAATTAACTAAGCTTGAAATATGGAGAAGAAATCGCTAACTGGATTATGCTTCCTCCTCGTTTTTATCTTTGTTGCTCGTAAGTCATCATTTAATTTATTTCTCATAATTTAATGTTAAAGTTCCATTACTCCGACTCCATGCATATATGATATATATACTTCGTGCATGCTATGTAAAATTACCCATACACATTATTAGAGATTTAAAATAATTAAATTCCTAATAAATTACAATTAGGGCAAATTAAGGTACATGAATCATTCATGCAAACAGACATATATAGCACCTGGCCATCCGCCCTGTTCCGTACCAATTTTTGGTGTTCACTACATTAATTCAGTTGTTAAGTAATGTACTCCGTAAATATATGATACATCCACTATTTATACTCCGGTAGTATAAAGCAATATACCGGCAACAAATTTTAAAAGCTCTATTTTTTAAAGCGAAACATTAATGGAGCAAAATTTAGAATATCATCCTAATTAATTTTTAACGTAACACTCACAACAAGATCATAATTGTCAATAAAAGAGTAGGACAAACTTTTTTTTGAAGGGAGGACAAACTTAAACAAGTAAGAGTATTTATCATAAGATTCGATATAGTTATTAATTTGGTTGGACTTTCTGAATATGGACTAAAGTCTGGCTATATTTTTATATGCATACATAGTACTCCGTATAATATATTTTTATATAACATTCGGTTCTTCAGAGAGGTTCAGAGCAATTCAGTTCAATACAATTTTGGATGGTTCTCGATCACTGAATAACCAATATTGTACCATATTATATTCGAAGTATAAAAAATTGGTTCAATCCGATTCAATATTATATTCTTTATATTCTTTTGATTCTGATACGAATCAAAACGGTTTCTCGATAAGACACCAGATATTTTAAATCCACTCTAATTAGTCTTAGCTACAATAGCGGGAAATCATAGATCCACGCAACACTCAACAGAACTATATTGATATTGATTTGAATATTAGCTTGTGAAAATTTAATATTACATTCACTCAATTCTAAATAAATAAAAGTAAATTTCATGGTACTCTCAAAATATCATACTTTGTCCACATAGATCATTTAGAATTTTACAATGAAATTATTTAAATGTAAATAAATGGTAAAATAATGATTTAGACCATTCAAATGCATCATAAGTACAATATTTTCATTTTAATAGGAAAAATGGAACATTTACTTCATCTCCAAATTTTTTGGATAAAGAATAAAATGTGTGCTTGCTGAAATTTGAGAAGAAGAAAGAGAAAGAGATAAATAAAAAAACTCTCTCACTTCCACAAAACATCACCATCTTTGACTATCTTTGACTTTCTTGGTCAATAATATAATGTTCAAACTTAACTTAACTAATGTATTATATGGTGGATGCAGAAGAAGTGATGGTGCATACTGCAGAGGCAGGGACATGCGAGAACCTGGCAGACACATACAGGGGACCCTGCTTCACCACCGGCAGCTGCGACGATCACTGCAAGAACCGAGAACACCTTGTAAGCGGCCGCTGCAGAGACGATTTTCGCTGCTGGTGCACTCGCAACTGCTGATCATCATATCATCAACTGCTGGTTTCCTCTTAATAATCCAGCATATACTATATAAATATGTATGAATAATTGCAAGCACCGTCGAGTACCTGTGTAATAATAATGTGTGCATAGCATGTAGAGCTATGCACTTCAATATGATGATGAATAAAACTGTATGCATGCTTTAATTGGTCCTCTAAACCGTTTTTCTTTTATGTTGCAATCATGAAAGTTTTTCCGAAATTGCTTTGTGCAAATCCAACTCATTAATTTGTGTAATACTCCATATATCTTTTAGTGAGAGTTTAAGGTATTATAGGAGGAGTGGT